GGTCCCAAGTGATGATGGAGCGGGAGTCGGCAAGTAATAGAAGCGAACTGGGAGCTGTGGGAGACTCGCTGCAGCCACAGACCCCGAGCAGGCACGAAAAGAGCCTGGGACTGCTCACGACCAAGTTTGTGACTTTACTACAGGAAGCGAAGGACGGAGTTCTGGATCTGAAAGCTGTGAGCATGCAGTCCCGACTCTTTGTTGTTAGCTAGCACATGTCATTTTGAGCCTGTCCGCTGTTGTTAGGTTACATGTACTTTTGCTAGTCAGCCTGTTAGCCTAGCCTAGCTGTGTGACATGCTAATGTGAATGGGTGATACCTCTTTGCTTATGACTTTATAGTTTTCAGACCGCTGTTGTGTAAACGTGTTTTCGTGTTTCTCAAAGGGGAGAAAAAAGGTTACAAACTGACCTCTGAGAAGACTCGCCAACTCTTCAGACTATGCCCCCCTGCAGGTTCAGGGTTTTAAAAGTGGGTCCGTTTTTCTCGTCCACTTCATGGACTCAACGTCTTCACATAAAAACGGTTATTTTCTGATTGATGACACTGTTGTCAGTTAACGCCACGTATTCACTCAGTTTCCAGTAATTACTCAAAAAGCTTTTATTAACAGTGCATTAGCCTTTCAGTCAGGAGTACGTAAAATAACGTATTCTGTGGTCTTCATCACAGTATGTAGACCATAATGTTCTTAGTGACCTGACAGATAAACGCTCATTAAGATGGTCGCCAGAATCAAGAGACTAGGGTCTAAGCTAAAGCACGACAGTGAATTTGTGACAGTTGAGGAACGTAGGAGAACTTCTGAGTCTGTCATTAAGCTCGTTCAGCGGGAAGCCTTTCCTCAAGAGTTAAAGACGCTGCAAAGGGAAAACATTGACGCTGCAAAGGGAAAACATTCTCTCAAAATCAAGCCGTCTTCTCTACCTCGACCCCATCCTTGACAGTGGACTTCTCCGCATTGGTGGGAGGCTGAAAGCATCAACGCTGAGTCATGAACTAAAACACCCCATCATCCTTCCAAAGGACAATCACGTCACCAAGCTGATCCTGTCCCATTACCATGCACAGATCAATCATCAGGGTCATTGTTCTAGGGTAGGACTGGATAAGTCCGACTTCTTCCTACTCCATTCAAACATGTACTAGGTATAAGCAAACTGTTTCTGGATTAGCATTGGTTGGCTTTGTGTAATTATGTGTGTGTGTTGATGTCATTTGCTCTGCATGTTTGAAAGAATAAATCAAAATCAAATCATAGTCGGACTCTAATGGCGCTCAGAGCTAATGATTTTGGATAATTGGTGAGAAGCAAATCAGTCACTAGGTTTATACATGGATGTGTTCAGTGCCGGAAGCTCAGACGACCACCAGAGGAGCAACGCATGTCAGAACTTCCCCGAGAACGTGTGGAAGTGTCACCTCCTTTCATGTACTGTGGAATGGATTGTTTTGGTCCATTTATCATCAAGCAGGGCCGTAAAGAGTGCAAGAGGTATGGTCTCATCCTCACATGCCTGTCTTCAAGAGCAGTTCACATCGAAATGCTTGGAGATATGACTACAGATGCTCTCATCAATGCCCTAAGATGCTTTATAAGTTTGAGGGGAGCAGTGTGTCAACTTCGTTGTGATCAGGGCACAAACTTTGTTGGAGCCAAAAATGAGCTTAGAGAAGGTCTTAAACTGTGTGACACCAAGACCCTAGAGACATTTCTTGCAGATAAACAATGCGAGTTCATTTTCAACGCTCCATCAGCAAGTCATGCAGGTGGAATCTGGGAACGACAAATCAGGACCATCCGCAACGTGCTGAACGTTACACTGGCTCAGAGCTCAGGCAGGCTGGATGACGCTTCTCTTAGAACACTGTTCTATGAGGCTATGGCTATCGTTAACAGTCGTCCATTGACTGTCGATGGGCTCAACGATCCCACATCTCCAGAGCCCCTGACTCCTAACCACCTCATAATGATGAAATCCAAAGTTGCTCTACCACCTCCTGGAAAGTTCGTGAAAGAGGACATTTATGCTGCAAAAAGGTGGCGCAGAGTTCAGTTTTTGACCGAACAGTTCTGGAGCAGGTGGAAGAAGGAATATCTTCTCAACGTTTCCACAAGGCAAAAATGGCACGTACCTCGTCGCAACCTAAAGGTGAATGACATTGTCATCATCAAGGAAGACTCGCTTCCAAGGAACCAGTGGCAACTAGGGCGAGTAGTTCAAACCACAGAAGGCACTGACGGTTTGGTTCGTCGTGTCAAGGTACAAGTTGGGGAACGTAAGCTGACAAAGAAACCAGAACATTCTTCCAAACCCTCGATTATTGAAAGGCCGATCCAGAAGCTAGTGCTTCTACTTGAAAGTGAATAATTGGCTGTCAATACCAAAACCACATCAGACATGTTATTCTGAATGTTGCTATTAAGATGACTTAATGTGTGGTCATTTGTTATGGTCTGGAAATCATGTATTAGTTTAAGGTTGTTGACACTGGTTGGTAAATTCATCACAACATGATTTGGTGGGAGTGTAACTGACCGTAAAGCCCCCTCTCAGATTCATTATCATCAACTCGGCATAAGGGCGCTGAGGAGGTTTGCCCCGGAACGTGAATGAGGAAGCGTTGTATTGTTAAATTTTCTCGGTTTCATTTCACTCGCCTCATGACCTCCGTGGAGGATGTAAGCAAACCATAATGTTGTTTGTACTGGGGATTTGTCTATTGGTTTGATGCTTATTGTTAATGTAAATGCTTACATAGTTCTCTGGTAACTTTTCTCGCTATACGTTCACGTCGTTTTGGTTCTATCTTTATCTCAGGAAACACGCAAGCTAGTAGTGCTTCAGGCCCGGTATTTCTTCCCATGTCCTTTAAGTAGTTCTGATCTGAATCGGCGAGGCCTACTAAAACATCTTCAACCACACAAACTGTAACCCCTTCATTTCATTGCATCTTGTTCCTTCATTTGTCTTTATGTGTGCAATAAAAGGAATGAAATACTTAAAAAAAAATGTATTTATTATTTGGTCCTTTTATTGATAAGAATTTTAAGTTGCACTATAGTAATAAATGTTTTGAGTTTGCTTTAGAAACTTATAGTTGCAAATTATAAACTGTCAAAGTGGCACAACTTTAAACGACCCTTTGATAAATCGTTTAATCCCATTTGTAAAATATTCCATCATCATTTAGTCATCTATAGGTGTCTCTACATTTTTGTCCTCCCCAGCTACTTACTTACATAAGAGGGTCAGAATATTAGGAACACCTCTGAATATAATGTAGTCCATTACAACACCACTTTTAACTACGACCTCAATAATAAACATGTAATGGAATTTATACATTTATGACAATGTCATTAAAAACGGAAACATTCTGTGCTTCATAAACACAGCTGTTGAGGTGGAAGTGTTGCACTGAAATGCATGCAACCGTACAGGTGTACCTAATAAAGTGGCTAATGAGTGTATATAACTGAAGCTAGGCTAAATATCAGAAACGCCGTAGTATTGTGCAACTCTACCCGCTCTTAAACGTTGCCCGGAGCCGGATCAGATCCGGGGTAGGCAACACAGAGAATCCAGACTGGTGAAATACAATCCTACTCAGGGAGGGATATAATGTGGGAGCCCAAAATGATGGTAAAGAGTTTTAGGAGTAGATGAGTATAGGTGCTTAAGTTTCTACAGTATTTTCCCATTTAAGGCAAGAGTTTTCAACTGAAAAGTGTAACTGCACTAACTGCACTTCAGATTCGATTTAAATGCACTTGACTATTTTAAGAAAGAGGAAATGGTGCGCTTGAGCGTGCAGATAAGGCTGTCATCGTAGTTTAACTCTACAACTGTGATCAGATTGCATGACCCCCCAAAAGCAAAGCAAAGGTAACACATTGCTATAAATTAGCAATGTCTCCAGGTAAAAGAGGAGCAGCATCCGACTGTAGTGGTAAGACGGGACAGCTTAACAGGGACTACTAACTTTACTGTCACCAAGGGTCAGTCACAAATCAACCTGTCAATAACATGGCCCAACTAGATTTTCATTACAGTCATGTATACACAGACTGAACAATGCAGGTGTTTTAACTCATGAAAGAAAAATTTTAGTGTGCAGGGTGCAAACATATACACAGCAGACTCATCTTCTCACCGTGCTGAATGATGCCATGTTCCAGAAGCCTCCGACCCAGCCGCTCTGCCTCCTCCCTGGTTGCCATCTCCCCCTCCTGTAGCAGCCAGTCAATGAACTCAGAGGCCACCAGCGTCCGCTCAAATGTCCCATCCTCCTCCTCCCTGGTCTGTAACAGGTTGTTGTCCGTGTTCATCATCCTAAAGATAGAAAAGAGCAAACTTTTGTTACTTTGATCGGTCTGGTTTAGTACTGCTTAATTCTCCCTGAGATGTTTTCTGTATTTAGTAAAATAGTGGGATTTTTGCAAAAGCATCTGGCATAAAACGTGCCAAATGTATACATGCAAAACGGTTGATTCGCTGTGGCGACCCCTAACGGGAACAGCTGAAAGTAGTAGTGGTAGTACTGCAAGAAGTGAACTTTCTTCACTGAGATTTTCCAACCTAGGAATTTTCCAAACCAGTAGCTCAACCCGTTTCTGCACCCTGTAATCTGCAGTCAAATGCATACATTCTGTGCTGTAACACTGCCTGGGTTAGCACTTCAGTCACATACAGTAAGTGGAGGGATTGGGAGTGGATTTTAAAACCAAATCTATGGTATTCCTAGAACATCATACACTGAAGCTACAGTTCAGATTAGCACAATGAAGGGATAATGAAGGAGAAAACTATGATCTGCTTCACTGACTGTCACACTGCTTCAGGCAACTGGCAGAAAAAGGTGCTGAATGTCAAGTGAGCTTGTGTTTTACCATTGCTTTTATTCATGTGTGTAATTCTGAATAGTCAGTATCAAAGGATTACATTAGGTAAATGTCTTCTGGGTGGTACCAGATGACACATACCCTCAGCCAAACAAATACACACATGCACGGAACACAATGGCTGACTCTGTCCTTGTGCTGCTCTCCTTAGAACAAATTCACACCCAGAAACTGTCACCACTCAACACTCAAACAGTTGTATCCACAATATATCACCTGCCTTGCAGTGCTCATAAGAAACAATAAGCTTTTTGTGTGGGACATCTGTGCATGTCTAAGCATGTACTAACAATGAACTGTACCATGACAAAGAAGTTTTCTGTTGGCACAAGTTATATTCCCACATGTTGTTTTAATGGCTGTCAATCATTCACTAAACTGTGAACTCCACACACCAAACTGTGAAATACAGACACTTATTAACAGCTTGGATATTTGAGGGAGTGCTTAGAATATTTCATAAATTAAATGAAATTACAGAAAAGTCTCAAATTAACACTACACATTTGCAACACCAGACATGTGAAAAAGGCTAAGGATTGTGGCTCCAGGCTTTGAGACTTTAACAACCACCCACTTAAATTAGGCCAGTCCAAAGAGGACATAATCTTAAAAACTGTGTCAACTGAACCGTGGACATTTTTTTACAAGTCCCCATTGAATTGGCCAGTTAGCCAAGAGAGAAATGTCTTCATTGTTTAAAGGATTAAAAGGAACAGTTTAACATTTTGGTAAATACAGTCATTCACTTTCTTCCAAAGAGTTAGATGAGACCATTGACGCCTGTATGCTAAAAATGCAGCCAGGAAACATTAGCTTAGCATAAAGAACAGCTTGCCTAGCTCTGGTCGACAGTGATAAAATCTGCCAACACTTGCAGGGACCCATAAGATCCTCCCCTCTCTGCTGGTTGCCTGATAGTTGCTCCCATCCATGAAATAATCTGGTACATAAAGCAATATAAAATAGCAAATTGTCCTTTTTATATTTCAGTTTTTGTTTAGATTAAATACACAAGATATAGTGTATTACTTAGTAAGTTTTAGATGAAATAGGAGGCAAACCAGGGTAGCTTTAGACAGAGCCACACCAGAATTTTCTCATGTTTGCAGTCTTTATGCTAACAACTGCTGATTCCAGTATCATATTCACTGTACAGACAAAGCGTAGTAGCAATTTACACATCTTACAGCTCGGCAAGAAAGCAAGTAAGTGTACTTCCCAAAGTAACTAGCCCTGTGTATATGGGCAATCAACACTATGCATAGTATTAAGTGATAATGGTCGTGTGTGGTGCAGATGAGGCTGTTCTGGCACGGCAGCCATCAGTATGTCCACTGTTTATACAGTTTAGGGAAGGCAAAATGCCTTTTGAAATGCAGAACATTAGTAAAATAAGCCACCAGTGTTCAGGGCAAACATATTTAACTTAAATGAGGATCCTAATAAATGAAATTAAAGCAAATGAAAGCTACATCTGGTGAACCCCCTTCTCCGCAAAAAGCCTTTCTGCCTGTACTCACCGCTAAGTGTGGCTCATTAAAGTGACCACAGAAAACCTCAGGCCTACTTGTTAAAAGAAGAATTAGACTGTTATCACACTTAGTCATAGGGTGAGAGTGTATGTGTCAAATTTAAACCCAAGGTTGAGTAAAAAATAAACATCAGATTAAATGTAGTTAAGAAAATGACCTGAACCCTCACGACTGAGTCCTTCAGTCATATAATGTGAACACACTGCAGAAAACAAGACTTGTTTAGATGACAAATTTGGGTGGATTAGATGCAGTAGGACAACTGCTGTAGCCCACATTAGAAGCCAGCATCATAATGCAAATGTTGAAAGTGCAGCACATAATGTTCCATGAGCCCTGGTTGTGTACTCAAAACAGCTCCACCGTGTTATATTAGCTCAAAGGGACTGACTGAAAATACTGTACTTATATTAAAGCAGTGCCACACAGTGGTTTGAATAATAGCATCAAGTATTATAAGAGAAATTTGGTATATTATTATTATAAAATTTGCAGTTAATGGGCATGTAAAAAAAAATAACTGTATAGTTCTTTTACCAAGTGGTGCCTGGGCAATCAGAGACAGAGAAATATTTTCTAGCCTTGAAAAGATCCATGAAACCAATAAATGGTCACTTTTTTCCATTTGATGGTTTAATATGAGCATGACTAAATCATGTATGCAGTTTATCACCAGTCCATATGGTGAACAATGCTTTTAAAAGCTCTGTAAAACATTGTCATCTCTGACTAACCTGGTCACTGAGGAACTACTTGTTTGCAGTGTTCACCATCTTAGTTTAGCGCTTAGCTTGTTCGTGCCATTAGGATTCATCCTGTGGTGACCATAAATGTGTGTACATCTTGTAGACTGACCTGTAGACTTCGACTGACAACCAGACTAACATCGCCCTCCCTAAAACAATACTGCTAACATACAGTAGCTAAAAAAAAAGTACATGGAGGTTGTAAAGATCTTAAATTCCAGGGATAAGAAAGAAATAACTATGTTAAAAAAAAAAAAAACTCCTAATATTGGAATGTACAATGTGTAAAAAAGTATGCTAGCAACATCTATTAGAGTTAAATCCATGTCAGTCTCACACACTCATACTGTAGGTTTAAAGTTTGTGGTCACTGGTTTTGTGCATCTTGAAACCCCCATAAACATTTCTCTCTTGTTTCAGTTGTGTTGTTGAAGTCCTGTTGAATTTCTGGAAACTGCTCACCAAAGAACCAATTCATGGTTGTTTACAAGAATGAAAACAAGCAGCACAAACAACAATCCTCTGAGGATGGGAGATATTTGCACTTTGCACTCAGGCACAAGAGGCTGGTAGATGGTTGCTGGACTGTTACTTAGGTCATAAGCGAAATTGTGAAGCAACTCTAGTTCACAAGCAAGCAACCATTAGTGCAAGCTCGAGGGAGAATTGTGAGAGAGAGTGTGTGTGTGTGTGTGTGTGCGTGCGTGCGTGTGTGTGGGTGTGTGTGCGTGCGTGCGTGCATGTGTGTGTGTCCAGGGCTGCACCATGGTGATTACATAAACATATCTTTGAGAACAGAGACGACAGATGTCCCCCCCTTGGACTGTTTCTTCCTCTTACGTAACTGTGTGAATGTGTCTGTGTTGTAAAAGAAACAGACATACAAAACGGTTTCTGTTTACAAGAGTGTGTCTGTTTGTGTGTTCAAAGAGACATAGACATACTGTTCTCTCATGTGACATAGAGGTGGTGGATGTGTGAGACAGGGAAGGCGAGTCAAGCTGTGTGTGTTTTGTGCTACACAATCAAGTGTGTAAGCTTGCATTCATTTGGTTGCTGACTCAAAGATTAAAGTGTGTGTGTATAAACTCAAAAGTGAAGAGATATGACACACCTCCACAGAGAGACATGGAGACACAGATGTAGACTGGTGTTTCTATAGAAACAATTAGTCTCATCACTACTGGAAAAACAGCATCATGGGTACAAAGCTGATGACAAACAAAAACAGCCCCATTAGTGGTTTCTGCTCTCGTCTGTTTCTGGACGAATGCTGGGTGTCATCGCTGGTCAAAATGCTTCCAATATCCTCTGATTTTTCCACTGCCTGTAGGCTTTTGTCATGATCAAATCTATCTAGCTAATTAAATCCAATATAATGAAATGCATTTTCTAAAAATGAATCGTGGTGGCATTTATGATGTCGTCAGCACACTGTGGAGAGTAGTGACTCACACAAAGAGAAGCAAAGAGGAAGGTTGCTATGTGCTGCAGATTGTTATGTGGCCAAGTTTAAACTGTATCAGAAAAGGTGATGATACTTTAAAGGTCAAGACTGTGGGGAAATATTTGTGTTTTTGCACAGAATTAGATGAAAGGTTCTGCTTATAGTTAACAAAATGTGCCCACTAGTGCCTCCCATGGGTGCCAAACTATTCTTTCAAAGCTACATGACTGATGTAAAGCTGAAGGAGAAAGTCAACCCAAAGTGCACCTTCCCATAGCTACACTACCTGGCCGACTGTGCATGTTAATTGTGATTCAGGTGTGTGTCTGTGTGCGTACATACTTCTCATAGATCCTCTGCCCTCTCATGAAGACTTTGGCTTCACTGTCCAGCGGGAATGTGCCGTCATCCTTACGGAAGCGATAGAACAACTTCAAGTCTTTGAACTCTCTGTGCTCGTCACACACTGAAAAAACACATGCATGGAGGTTTCAGTTTTATCACTTGCAGGAATTACACTCATGTATATGTTCAGTATACATACAAATGTGGTCACAGGCAGAGGTAACGCTGCCTCTGCATGTGGATATTTTAGTATAATAACCCATGCTCAGAGATTTAGGATCAGAGAACATAAAAACCTGATCATAACTCAGGTCACTCTGAGAAATTGGACATTTTCTTTAAAGCTACCAGAATTTCCATTTGGGGATTAATAAAGTATCTATCAGTCTTTAATTTAATTACATAATGAGGTACAGAGGCCATTTTACATTACAACCAGTATGTGCTCGGGGTTATTCATCATGGTTAAATACAGCACAAGCAAAGGCATCATATAAGGGTATCATGGAAATTCTGATTTTGTTTGTATAAAGCAGTCACTAAAATCTAAGAATTACTAAACTAATTAAAATACAACTGGAACAAGTTAATATTACAGGGTTAGTTGGCACCGGCTAAACATCAGCTCCAGAGGAAAAGACAGTCTCTTTCCTTGGAGTCTGGTTAAATGTGAAGCAGGTAGTGATATGCTACATTGGAGCCAAATTGGCTGGGAGACACAGAGAATCATCTATTAAGAGGCACCGAGTGGTCCCAGAAAATGTCAAGAAAGAGAGAGAAGAGAAGGAAGAGAGGGAGAGAGAGGGAGACCCTTGGCATTATATGGAATGGAAAACACAAGCGAAGCACATAAGAATCACCCCATTCATTTGGTATATGCAATGGCGCATACACACACACACACACACACACATCCCTGTCTTACCATGGTGAATAATGCTCTGGTCTAAAAGTTTCTGCATGATCTTGATGGCCGTGTCTCGGTCTGAAGCCTCCTTGTGTTCAATCAACCAGTCAATGAGCTCTTTGGCCACAAAGCAGTTGGGGTAAGTTCGGAGGTGGTGCCGCCGATCCTTGATTACCTTCCCCTCATGGAGCCGCAGCCTGGATGGCAGCAAACAAGCAGCAGGAGAGGAAAACAAAAATCTTGAGCAAGTCTTCCAACATGATTCCTTAAAATCAGACTAGAATCTTTGTTTTGTTTGACGCCTGTGTGGTGGGTGCTTGTAACGACAGGTGTGTAACAGAAAAATAAAAACCGAAACAGGCGGCATGGCCAAAAATCAACACGAAGATAAACTAACACAGAATGACCTACAGTGTGTGACAGAACATGCAGCAGTGTGGCTCACTGACTTCTGGACAACAACAGAGCTCTAGGGCACAGGAGAGTAAGACATAGCAAGTTACACAGAGAATACCTGTTCATGGGCAGATTCATTGTTCGTCTTAGTCCTTTCATGGGATTTGTTGACAATAAAAGAATACTGCCTGACTTCTCCTGCAAAACAAGCCTTAACAATAGTGCTGTGTTCTGAATACAGAACATGACCAATCGTTGTAGTTTTTAGGTGACAGCGCTGGAAAACAGCTGTTTTTAATAAACAAACATTGCTGACTAAACTTGTGGTTTATCACTAAATTCTAAAGCTCCCCTTTAAAATGTAAATCACAATAAAAATCCTTAAATCCTTAAATTGATAAGAAAAAGGGTTATGTTAAGTATTTCATCTAAAGGTAGCAGCATATATTCCCTGCATTAGTTCTGAACTGCATATCATAAATTATTGTAAGATAAACCATCTTCTGGCAGTAGAAATGTATCCAAAGGTCAATGTGAGTGAGGTTGAATCTTTATTTAGCAAATCAGTCCTCTGGGCATTCAAACACTGTCTACAGGGATTTTATAATGTGCCTATGTTGCATGATGACTTGACAAACTTCTCACGTTTCTATACATGGCCTAGATGCTGGTTTCAAATCATCAAGATGACCTGTCCCTGAACCTGACTATTGTGAAACAGCCCACCACAGTCTTAGCCGAGCTTCCTGCAGCTACCTAGCTAGCTCCATGTTGAGTCTGTGTGCAGCTGGCTAGCATCACTCTGGATTAGTAGACTCAAGCCTGCCTAGTAAGATGCACTCAGTGTTCTGCCAAGCTGCGAGATGGGCAAACAGCCTCAGCTAAACGAGTTACACACTCCTCTTCCAGCCAGATCCAGCATCTTCCTCCGTACCTTCCGTTCAGCTTCTGAACACTACAGAGAGCGATCACAAGATATACTACAGCAGCTGGACATGCCTGTGTGCCATCATATCTGTCTTTCAGCTCTGTGCCCGATACAGATCTGCTCTCAGATAGGAGAGATATCAGCAGATGTTTAGAAACAGCGAGCATACTCTTATCAGGACCAGGAACTATGTCAGTCATGTTCCATGAGCTTCACTCGTGACGAAGCGATCAAATAAAGGTGTGGATTAGGTACACTCCTTGGTGTTTTCATATCAGGCCTAACTTTGTGCTTATGAATTTGACTGTGACTTTCTCAATGTCATGTGTCATTGTTTGGTCTGAATTATTAATACAGATCAAAACTAAATCCGGTGCAACGCTGAGGGAGAATGTGTACACATACTGCACTGTGTAACAAGACTAGGGTAACAAGCTGTACTTAAACTGACAGTGCTTTGAGCCAAATGCTGAGATTCCTACATGCTCATAATAACAATGCAATGTGCAACACTAAGCAGCATATAATGTTTACTTCATTTTATCTGCGTTTAGCATGACAGCATGCTACCATTTGCAAATTAGCACTAAACGCAAAGCACACCTGAGGGTGACGCCATTTTGTGGGTTTTGATGAAATTTAAGGAAAACCAAAGTTATTAAAATTAATCCTCAAGGGGTCATGATCTCCTGTACCAAGTATCATGGCTCTACATTCAGTAGTTGTTGTGAGATTTCAACTAAAATCACAAATGTCAATCATCACAAATGTTCTGGTGCTGCTACTGATCAAGAAATTGGATGATCTGTTCCAAATTTCATTGCAATCTCTCAAATTATTTTTAGGAACTGTCAGTCTGCAACACAGAGGTGGAGCAATCAACAGAACAACATGCGACTCCCAGGGCTAAAGAAGCTCTCGGGCTGGCTGCGGTGTCTGTAGAACAGGGAGGGAGACAGAGAGGAAGTCATGTATGTCACAATCCCAAGGCCTTTCCTCCAGAACAGGAGTGTTTCAAAGGACCCTGGGACAGCCATCCCAACCAACGCGTCATTCACTGACACCAGTTACACAGCCAGCTGGCAGCCTCAGTATACAGCTGTGCCAGGAACACACACACACACACACACACAGAGTGTCAAACACAAATCTGTGTTGTGCAAGAGTAGCCTGAAGAGTATACCCAGACAAGAACTACAGGATTAATCTCTGGAGGAGTGTGTTACTTTTTATGGCTCCTCGGAGCAGGAGAATGTTACAGCGTGTACTTCTACAGAAACCGCAAAAGCTTCATCTACCACACCCAGCTGGGAAGCACAATTCAGCAACATAATTTTTCTCAAAGTTTGGTGGGAGGGAGCTGAAATTCCAGGCATTGGTGCCATGCTTTACCTAATGAGCCCCTTTTCATTGCTGGGAGTGTGAGCCAGCGAGAGCCACCGAGGTTATGGTGGCTTTCAGTGAGTCACAGGGTACAGCCTGTTAACAACACTGGCAGTGTTAGCAGTACAGTTCCTTCATGCGCATGATAGGATCATTCCCTGTGCAGCAGAAATGACTCATGTTCAGTCATAAAAGCAGGAAAACTGAAGAGGATCCTGGAGAATTCAAGAGATCTCAATGCCTCAGGCTAAATGCGTATGGTAGTGCATGTGTGCATGGGGAGGGTTGTGCACGTGTGGCCGCCTTTGTTTGGCTGTGCATGCTGCAGTGAAGCTGAAACTGCCTGTAGTTCCAGTTTGCAGTGAGGGAGAGCTCCAAGCATGACCATTAACCTGCTGTCAAACATGCTTACAACACCTGCTTTGCTCATTTAGTGTCATGTCCTTGTTCATCGTGAACAGGGCCACAAAAATCCAGACTTACCAGGCAAACTAACTAAACAACGATTATTTACACATTAATACATCATTTACCTATTAGATCTTTGCTGTGATTGCTGTAAATCTGATAGGTAGATGATCCTGGCACAAATACCGCAGCTCTCCTCTAACTATGCGTGACCTGCGGTGCACCCAGGGTCAGCGGGGACATGGCACAGGTACTGACCGACCTACCTCAGCTGTTCTCCAGTGACAAGCACCTCAGCCAGCCGCTCCAGCTCTGCAGCCTTCTTCTGCATGGTGTTCCCGATCCAGTCCATCTCTCTGCTAACACAAGAGGCACAGACACGAGGTGCATTTGTTGCAGAACAGCCACACACAAAAACAACATCATTCTGCACCGGGACAATGCTCCAGTCTTGCGCTTTTGTAAATGAGTGAAAACGCTGGACAGCAAAATGTGTGCGCCACTGGGGTTTTAGCTGACAAACATTCAGAGAGATGAACGAATGGACTGAAAGACAAAGCCATGCAAGTACGGTGATGATTTCAGAGAATAAATAATGCACTGACAGCTCTTTTTTTTTGGCTTACCCTTCAAGTACCATGGAGAGCGAAAAGATTAGTTTATCAAGTATTCCTTTGATGGTGGGGAAAATTATTCCACTACAGGAAACATACAACAATGCGAGCAGTCAGAAGTCACAGCCCAGCCCCCGTATGCCAGTAGTTCCACGAGCAGCAGTCCACTTTTAATTCCTCGAAAACCTCCTCTGGCCCCAAGCAGCCTGTTTGCACGCACACTCTCATGCATGTGTCCACTTCCCTTTATGTATGTTCCTATCTGCTGTTCTTTGGATGCAGTGTTGGTGAAAACAAGCCCAACGCTTTCACATCCCTCCTCGACCGGTTGGTTGGCTGGTTTGTCAGTGACACTGTCACAGTGCACGGAAAGTACGCACGTTTTCTCCACGGCGCAAGCAGAACCAGTCCACAAAGCCCCGGATTGGAAGGACTCTGCTGTCGTCACTGTGGGAGTCAACCTGAGGGGCGGGGCTACAGAAGCATGTTGGTGTGTTCGATTCATACACCGTCGGGTACTGGAAATCATTACTAGGTTAATATGATTTGGACAAATGATCTAAATATAGCCATCATTATAAAAAAGCGTTTGGTACCTACATCTTTCCACTTGTGTTTTTATTATGCAGTATGTGCAGCATGCAGTGGTGGCCCAATGGTGGAAAAACCTTCATAACATAAATGAAATGAGCTTTTTTAAAGAATGTAAAACACAAAGTCAAGGTTTGCAGAACAGATTATAGTCAGTTTATTGTAGAAAACCGCAGCTGTTTGCTTCACATGCCACATGACAGGAAGTCTCCAACTCTATGTATAACTTCTCTCTTCCGCCTGACTTTTCTCCTCCAGCTACTGTCAAAAGTTTTGCAAATCTGATCAAAATGTGAACGGAATGATTTTGAGTTGCTTTATTGTATCTGGAGCCCCAGATCTCCAGGAACATCTCCAGTGAGTAGCATCTTCAAACTGAAACAACTTTCCATGTGAGAGGCCTGTCAGGGAGAGTTCATTCTCTGAATGTCATGTCCTTCCAATAATGCTAATATTCTGTCAAAAGTGTTCAAAAAAAGTAGTAAATAAAATTTGTGCTATAAAATATACAGTTTAAAACATTTCATTTGAGAATATGGAACATCCTGTAACAAAATCCACTAAATGCTGGCCACATGTCGCACAACCAAAAACGTTATTCCTATCACACTAGCTGATACAACTCCTTTAATTATCTTCATGTACATATTTTATATGTTGATTATTGTAAAAAAAAAAAAATCTGGAACAGCTCCCTGGCGTGTCCAACAAAGTGCATGAAAATCCAGTCATAATTAGGTGAAATATCCTTAAGACACGTGGACATACTGTAGGTGTGTATAAAGAACACAGAAATGCTTCCAGACATGCAGGCAGCTTGTATGTGATGAAGAAACATGTAACACACTGAGCTGAAACATGTCCACTGAGCAGTGTGAGCTGTTGTCTCAGTGCTAATTAGTTAGGACAGGCAGAGATATGATGCATACTTAAAGTAGACGTTTTTGAAAGGATTTGTAAAGCTTTGTAACTGATGACAATTGTTTGAGAATGTACCTGATTACATAAACTGCAGAAAGTCACTGTCCTATAGGAATATGTTGACAAAATCGGGCCAAATTCAGGATTTTAATGTGTGAGACAAGTTCACCTTAACAAATTCACTGACTGCACATCAGCCTGTCTTTCACAGCATTCACAAGAAACGGGGGTGTTTCAGTATCTCTCTCTGAAAAGAACGTAAAACCAACGCTTCCACCAGGACTGATGAAGTCATGTGGCTGCCTATTGGCTACACTGGCAAGTGTTATTGGCCATTGTTACATAAACATACACACACATTAGATAAACTATAACTTCATGTATTTCATGTCTAATAGCATAGTCTCTGTCGATATATGATCGTGTGACCTGTAGGTCTTTGGTTCTTGTTACCATTGCTAACTCTGAGACACGAGACAGTCCAAGTAACTACAAAACAGTGCTGATTTATTCAAAGGATCACAGGTAAAATTAACATTACATGCTCAGGTATCTTGCACCTCCAACCAGATGTAAGATGAAAGACCCTGAACCCACCAGGCCTATACATTATATCCCCTCGGTTGGGCTAGCCCCATACTACACAGAAACGTCAACCGAGACGTCTCTGTTACCAGCTTTGCAGCTGGTCATAGCAGTAGTCAAAACATGAAGCAAATCAATGTGTGTGTGTCTGTTGGTTAAGTGGTGTGTAGCTAAAAACATTCTCACGACCTCTAGTAACATGTCATGACGTTAAACATAAGAACATATTATGGCTAAGGCTACAGTTATACACATCATAATAATAATATTAAACACCCTGTCTGCTGACAGTCATCAACTTCTCTCTAGTTATCCTTGACCAGATGTACCCTGTAGAAACTCATAAGCATGACTAAGCATTTAACAGTCTAACTAGACATCCTATCTCCACTAAACATTTCTAATACATCAAGTATCTATCCAATTTCTATCTGACTAAAAATACCTAACAGACCACAACGTCTGCTGGCTAGGGCTGCCTTTGCTTTAAGAAAGCCAGTGCTGTAATAGCTTTAGACTTTCTATCTGTATACAAAATATCTTTATGTATATCCAAACATTCCGACAAAATGACACCACCCACCACACGACGACATAGATATTTCTGTTTGGCTATAAAAATACATTAGGGTACATTTATATATCATCGGGCCAGTGGCGCAATGGATAACGCGTCTGACTACGGATCAGAAGATTCTAGGTTCGACTCCTGGCTGGCTCGACTCTTTTTTTCCCCCCACTCAGTCTCTTGGTCTTCGCACTGTTTACGTAGTTAAAAATGCTACTACTGCCCAGTTTTAGTCTAATTGATTTTACAGTTGTTTCATTTTGTGATTCTTACTTCAATAATCTGAGGACAGTTTGGTTCAAAATAGGTTTATTCGGTGTTGTTTACCACGTTTGGTCTTAACTCTCCCAGAAAGAATCTGTGGGGTCCAGGTTTCTTTTAAAGTCAGTAATAGCTTTGGTTCTGCCTATATCGTATCGAGGGTACAAATCACGACTGGGTGACGTAGGGTACTAAGCGTTCTCAGTCCTTTCCAGAACATGACCCATACAATAACAAAATCATAGTAAAACTACAGGATGTCACGATTTTTTTTTACCATTTCAGGCAATGTAAATTTCCCATCGGGCCAGTGGCGCAATGGATAACGCGTCTGACTACGGATCAGAAGATTCTAGGTTCGACTCCTGGCTGGCTCGGTTACTATTTTTGATACATTATCCCGTTAGACATTGATGAAGTCACCGGTTGAAAGAGTGCATATCTGATCTTCATCTTCAGCCATTTTCAGACTGAATGTGTCCGACTTATGTCAGTCAGAAAAATCTGTGTTCATGTTTCTTGAAAGTTATACTAGGTCACCAGAGCTCAAACTAGCTCAACCTCCATAATCTTCCAACAATCATACATAAGCAAAGTGTGTATTATCAGTCAGTTTCTAAAAGTGGAGCCCTTTTTCCATGTTTCTCATCACCAACATAATGTACATCCACTCCTGCATGGACACAGACAGTGGCAATGCCATAATTGCACTGTGGACCAATCAAATAATGCATTCGTGTTAATAAATAAGCAGTTTTGTAAAGGTACCACTAAATAAAGTTTTAATTGCCTTGAGTGCTAACAAGATATTACACATGCCAGTTTTCCAATACATTCATGGTTTTCCTCCAGTAAAAAGGCCTATTTCAATGCATTTATTAAACAGTTTCTTTACAACAATCATACAGGATATATGTTTGCTCTTCACCTTAATCTAGGGTTGGTTATGAAATTAAGGACTTCAAATGTAAATATTAACTTAATATCAATATTAACATCTGGATGGCAAATAGCAATCGAAACGGTCATTTCCCACTATAAATTAAATTAGTATTTAAGGGGCTTTGCACTAAAGTAAATCAGTATAGGCCTACAGCTTTTTAAAATACACAAAGTTTGTAAATATAACAAAACACAGATCTACAGGCCTAAACCTCTTCAATGGTGTGGAACATGCTCCTATGTCCAAGTGCTTAGAACAAACTGTATAACAAAAACAAACAAACAAACAAAGCTGCTTATTTACTAGTAGAACCATTGCTGCTCAGACAAAACAAAAAAGAAAAGTAATAAAAATGTTTTGTGTGGCTGAAATGATATGCACTGAGTACAGAGAGGCATTCCAACCTGGAGGAGTTTAACAGGTCAAGTTTAGGTTGAAATGATTTATTGCATATCAGTGTTTGCATATGAAAAATGAAGACCAACATACTGAGGCCTTTCACAGATGCCTGTGTAGTTGTCTGATTTCCCCAATGGCCACTGGTAAACAGCGTGAGAAGGAAATGAACACTTTGTATACAATGGTAACTCATTACAAATGGGAAAATAGGGAATTACTATTATGACTTCTTTCTATAATATTCAACAATAAAAGCCTCTTTATAAATTGTTATCATTGTGTGTAGAAGCTGTTGTCCTCCCTCCAGACTGGAGGAAAAATCCAAACCATTCTGTGAAATGCCTTCACTGATTACACAAAGCAGTGTCATGTAACTGAAACATTATTTTTAAACATGTCAATGAGCAGCAACTTGTCCTTTCAATCTGACTGAAGCATCAGGTACCTGTCATCTGAGTCACATTTCACAGTGGACTTCATTTTTTATAAGTGATCATCCTTATTAGAACCTGTGAACACATTATTTATCGATCAGTTTTGAACTTTATTTCACAGCAGACGTGTGAATGTTAAGCTGAAGGCACACTGTCTAAAATTATTTGACTATTTACACAGACAATGCAACTGATATTTACATAACAACAAACTTAGGAGATCACTTCTGCAAAGTCTGCAGAACGCAGCGCTTCACTGCATTCAAAGCAGAACTTTGGTGTATTGCAATACTTGATTACTGAGTTAGAAATATTTTAGATTCTGCATAATTGAGACTTCATTACCATTCCTGTCAAAGTACACAGCAAACCAGAGTATGGTTTGGTGCATTACATTAATCAGTCCTCTACAATAACAACTGTACATGTCTGCTCCTGCTGTCCAAGTCCCTCTTTGGCAGTTCCTCCACAGGTCCACCAGGCGTCTCCCTCCTCCTACAGCAGTGTCAGTAGGAGGCAGCAGTGATGGAGGGGGAGCAGCCAGGCTCAATGTGCTTCAGGTGGCACGAGTGGCACAGAAGGTGGCCGTTCAGAGGGTAGCAGCGGTGGCCCTCCTCGTCGTTCAGCTCCATCTTACAGTCCTTAAAACAGCATGAGAGGGACACATTTGGTCTAATTTCTGCTCTGCAGTGACCTTATTTCCAACTGCTGAAAGACTGATAAGAACTGGAACTACAGGCTTATTTCTTCATTCACAAAGATTTAAACTTCTCATCATTAGTACATCTCTGGCCGATAAAGAATTTCTTCATCTGCCATGTGGCACACAGTTATGTACAGAAAACTGTACATAAAGATACATTTCCGACATAAAGATGCTCCTCTTTGAACAACATGGAGGACACAAGCACTCAGCAGTTAAACGCTGCTCCTCACAGCCCACTAATCCACTCATTTTTATTTCCATGAAGTGAAAAAACAGCAGCCCTCAGTCAGAATTTGGCAAAAAAAAGAAGAGTAAAATGATGATAGTGATGAGGAGGTGTCACACACCTGGTCTCCCCAACAGTACATATTATGCCAAGACATGATTTGGACTTTGTTAAGGTGATCAGTGGCCCTCAGGAACTAACTAAGCATGTTTTCAAATGCAAAGCTTCATTTTCAGCCATGTTTTCACCCACCTCACAGTGATAGCACTCCACGTGATAGTCTTTGTCCATGGATACAACTCGAATAGTTTCATCAGACCCCTAGAAAGAAAATCCAGACAGACACGAGGCAGAAGACACACTGTCTTATTCTGATAACATTCTCAGTCTGACAAAAGCTTCCAAAGATCAGTAAAAAGCGTGAGCACACCGATAAAAGGCAAAAGCTGCATTGTCTGTAGTTTAAGCATAGAGCCATTCTGTTGCTGCGTTATCAGTGAAGTTTAATTATAGTTTCCAAATTTATGGTTGAAAAGTAAGAAATCATACTTGGGACCTTTGTGACAAAAGAAACCATACTGGTATCCACAGATATCGACCCAGAATATCAGAGCTAGGAGCAAAGATGGTAGAAATCCATTTACAAATATCCTGTATCTCAATGTGTGTATTCATAAGTGTGTTTCCTTTTTTGGTAAACTACTTTTTCTGCCACAGTAACAGCTCGGATAATTGCAAAAGACAGACTTAGCCTCCTACCTTTGTGTACACACACACACACACACACACACACACACACAGAGCACCTCTCCTCTAAATAACTGGTCTCCCTGCTTGCTAAAAGGGGAGGGCAAGGGACATTCCAGCAAAGTCAACTCTAATTTTGGACATTTCATTGCATTTGCCAGCAGGTCCTGGCTGTGTGTGAATCACACCTCTCCTTAATATCCAACGGCTCTTCCTCTACACTACATCAGCTCACAGCTTACAGATATTAGGCCTCACATTGTGTTGGCCTGTAGTCTAGTGGGAAATTTGGCTTTATTGAACTATTTGCTATTTCTACAGCAAAGTTATGTGTCATAAGTGAGTAAATATGAGCAGATAAGGATTTAAAATCTGCTGGTTTCCTGTCGACTAAAGGTCCACTTGTAAAGGTGAACAGCTTCAAGATACACTGAAGGTAATAAAGCTGACCAGTCATGCTGTGCTGGAGCTGATGTCACACTCCCTGTACACAGACAGTTTTTAAAGTCTGTTCATTGTCCTCAGGACTCTGACAGGGCTCGATCCCCAAACACTACAGCTCATACTATATACACCACCAGTGACTCAGATCCACAAGAGTGCTAATTATCCTCCAGAGTCAGGTAAAAAAATCCACAAATTTATGATTATGTCATATATATATATATATATTTTTATTTCATTTACATATTACATAAGAAACCTGGCATCTCCAGCACAGTCAATGCCTCAGTCAACAGCAACCGCCGAGTGTCTTTTAGCTTTATGCTGGTATGTCACTTAATATTTTTAAATGATCACAGTCACTTGTAAACTTGTGGTTGGGGTAACCTTCATTACCAGGAACAGAATCACCACAAAATGTACAACACAGATATGGCTACACAATATTTGGATAATATTAATATTATACTACTTATCAGAGCATGCAACAATGTGCACTTAAGAAGTCCTAATCATATGGTTAAAGCTTAATCCCAACACATATTCATAATTTTACACTGTATGTATCAAAAGATACTTTATTCAAGGATTAAAACTGTGGCAATGTGTTAGATTTTGATCCAATTTTACTTATCATTGATTTGGACATGTGATCCACAATCCCCTGATATAAGAATTTAGTTAAAAACATAGTGTTTATGACGTGTGATATGATGGGCGATGTGATACCTCTGTGGGCAGGATGGGCTGGTTACAGGCTGCACATTTAGGGGCCAAGACCCTGGGACAGAGAAAAACATGTTAGAGATTCACTGAGATTCATTCACCACATAGTGCAAATATAAAGGTTCATACTTTGGTGTCTCTTTCTTAACCTTCAAACCCAGTCATCTTCTGCTCTTTCTGTCCTAACACTGACTAGATTGGAGATCCTGATTGGACTCAGGAGATGCCATGTTTGCAGATGTGCGGGTTTTCCTGCACATATGTGATTCCCCAACTCCGAAAAGAAGGAGAAAAGCAAAAAAGCAAAATGAATTCATTTTTTCCAAACACATGGCTGGCAACTGGAAGTCTGCAGGGATAACAAAGGGCCTCTCAGCATAGACAGGCATGACTGTGTCCAAAAGTCCAACACTTACAGTACACACAATAAGATTTGTCTGATTTAATCAGCGTAGCGAACATGTGGGAGCTGCCAGACAGTGATGGGCCATGTGCTCCAATGTGCAGTACATAATGTCTCAGCAGAGAGAAGAACGGCTGTAACTGTAGAGCTGCCGCTCAGCTCGAGGCACTACAGATGCCGTTTTTGATGATTCATATTTAAAGCGGTTTCTACAAGTGGCAACAAGTATCCTCACACACAAAACCTTGATCTTTCAGTGACATGTTAGATGCTTTCTATTTGTCCTTACAGGGCATATGAATGTTGAGTTGGAACAAGTGGAGCCATGGCTCCACACCACTGACTTTTCACACCTCTAACTGGACAGGGATCTTTTCTCCGTCCCCCTCCCCCTCCTTTGACTCAAACTCTTATGTGTCTGCCACACGTGGCAGAGAGAAACTCGGTCATCCTGTGCAGACATTCTCAGCCTGATCCTGCAGTAGCATGGACCAGTGACGAGGCTGTGCTCTGATTTATCTTGCAATGTAAAACCCAGACATTTTTTCCCCGTGTTACCCTACATAAAATTAACATGGATACATCCAGGTCACGATTCTTACTTTGAACTAACTGGGCAACAAGTGAAGTTCACCTGTGGTAGTCTTTGACACAGTAGATCTTATTTTCAGTGTCCACGGTGAAGGGCACTCCATCAAGGCTCTCGTTACAGATGACACAGCGGAAACAGCCGGGGTGGTAGGATTTCCCGAGGGCCTGCAGGATCTATAGATGGAAATTAGTCAGTTAACTGAACATCTGAACATCAGTTTGCAACACCAGTTTCATACTTCCCAACTATTTTTATCCAACAGAATTAAAAGTTGTTCTAAGAGATCTCTTCCTTTAGGTTACATTTTTAATGATCTCTGGCGGCAGCTGAGAATAGGACAGAGATAAGAATGCTTTGTGTGTCTGTTTTGCACGTGTGTGTGTGTGTGTGTGTGTGTGTGTGTGTGCATGAGAGAGAGGGAGAGAGAGAATGAGAGCTACACACACATAGCAAACCTTTCTCCTGAGTCTTTATCCAGATGTGGCCACAGAAAAGCTCATTAAAGATGAAGTAGCTCCAAGGTTCTGCTGAGGTCACTTGGTTCTGACCCACGCACATAAAAGCACACACAACTGGGGAGGAGTAAAAGACACTCACCATGTCCATGATTAGATGTCCACATGCGTTGCACTTGTCCACAGACTGCTGGAAACCAGAGTACTTTAACAGACAGAGAAAATCTGATGTTGATATCATTGGAATTTGGTTAAAGAATGACTGAAATCTCTGAGCCTCTGTTTCAGACTGAGCACTAAACTCCACAAAGTCTCCCAGTCATTATCCCAATTAACCTGTGTGATTAGCATGTGTATTAAATCCCATCCCTAAAGCTGCTAAAATCCCTCCCCTCATCTCTACAGTCTGTAATAAAAAAAAAAAAAAACACATAACAAGCGCCGTTTGCCATTTAGGTGTGTGGACTTTGTTAGAAAAGACAGAGAGCCAGGTCTTTAAAAGTAAATCTGGTGTGGTTCCTAACGCTGGCATTTCATTAATACAGCATTTAAATCACTCAGCTCAGCTTCGTTTGTTATTTTGCATGAGTAGTGTCAGTGAGGAAAGGCCACGCTAACTGGCCCAGCAGACAATCAACAGCACATCGAGGGAGCAATGTCAGAGCAAATTTAATTCACTATAAACCACAACTTTAATTGAGCAGCTAAAAGCTTCTGGTGGAAGGGTAATTAGATATGGTTTTATGCAGGGAGTGCTCCAAGGGTAAACATGCAAAGAGCTTTTGACAGTGTGAATACTTGCAGCAAACAAAGAAGGGCAGATTTCTTATGAAAACACAACACAGCTGCATGGGTTCCAAGTCCTCTTTTGTCACTAAGGTCTTAAGTATGATTTCTTGCTTTTCAACAGTAAAATTAATTTCAACCATGCTTTATCCTATGATGATGCACACTGAAAGTTTTCCATTTTGCTAACTACAGACTGCTGTGAATGGCCTGACCACCCTCCAACCTAGAAACCACAGCAAAGCAGCTTCTCCAGTTACTGACCTCCTGCCAGGGCCACCCAAGGGAGGAAACCGATACGAATCGGCTGCATTAGATGCTAAAAGGTGAGACACAATGTCACAGTCTCTGACCTAAATGTTTTATTCAGCTTGAAGGCTGACAGATTATAGGCAGAATTTAAGTAAGTGGGAACTCTAATGAACCCAGTGCACCTGATGGATGGTGATTTAATGGTCAAGTGACAGTTCCTTGTAAATCACATAGAGAGCTCTGTAGAACATGCAGCTTAGTGTGAGAAAGGTGCTGTGTCCAATGTCTAACCTAAGTCACAACAAAGGTTACAAGACCTCATATCTCAGTAGAGGGATACTAACTATTGACTGTGTATTGACCGCTCACCAGAAAGTCTTCTTCACAGAAAACCTTCCCTCCAACATAGTAGAAAGCCTTCCCTCTCAGCCTTCGACCTGCATAAGAGAAAAGAAAACATTTTCATTACTGGAATACAGTGAGTAGATTGAAGGAGACTAGACAGGGTAAGTCAGTGGTAGAAGGCTGAAAACGGCCAGGATGAGACTGGTCTCAGAGAATAGCAACAGCCCTAATGTATATAGATCATGGCGATTAATTATATCCACATGAAGGCAGTGAAGCCAATTGCAATATTTAGCTGAATCTCAGGCAGATAGATCAAACCAACAGATCTATGGTGAGCTTGTGTCTTAATGTAATATTGCTGGGACACAGAGCAGGCTGCAGTAGGACAGGGAACACATCTGGATCAAACGCGTGGGGAAAATGCTGTTTAAATCCAATTACTAGACAGGTGCAACAGATAAAACACTGCTCTATTGGATTTAATGGCAACCACAGACCAAGGCCCACATGACCTGCTATTGTTCTTCTTTGTTCCTTTCTGGTGTCTTTGCACATGTTTCCCGCCTGCTTTAATCGTTGTATGGGCTGGATCTGCGTGCACACACACACACACACACACACACACACACACAGCAGAACTTCCTTGCTCACTTCACTAGCTATTCTTACCCAGGACCCACAGGAAGAGAAAGCATTCCTCACATTTTCGGAGTGGGGAGGTGAGGGAGGGGACAGCAGGAGAGAGGAGGGATTAACCTTAGTGAACAGGAACCCTCTTTATCTCCCATCTCATGCTCAGTTTACCTGATTACTTTTATCCAGAGAGTCTCACAAACGTAGACACTTGGAAAACACACAATTCATGCTATGTCATTCTAAATACAGCAGAGAAACATAATCACAGGCAAAAAACCATACCATTTATACCAAGGTAGTGATCCCTTTTATATCTCTGGTGGTAGTAGGCCATCACTGCGGTGTTGCAAATTATGTAGCAGAACTGGTTTATGGTAACATGTGAATCTTATTTTATTTTTACAGGTACTTTATTGGTTACCCTAAAACAGACATGCATTATAAGCATATTTGACCTCTCAGAAGTTTATCAATTGATTTTCCACAAACTGTACCATATCACAACACAGAATCATAATATAACATTACACATTGTATATTTTGGTATAGGTTTAATCCATATTGTCCACACCTAGGGGAAAGATTTGGAATTAATCTACAAAGAGAAGAAAATTACTATTTTAGTCTAATGTGGGAGAAAAGGAACTCAAATAGACAGACCTGTCTTCTCGTCACTACAACCCCTACTGCTGTCTTTAAATCAAGAGACAATTAAAGCAAACGACATGGAGTGGCACACAAAAGCAAAAAAAAAAAAAACATTAACAATGAGCTTGAGTTATATGCAGAATAAAGAACAAAGAACAAAGAAACCCCATGACTCAATTTTAAATCAATGTCACATGAATTTCTCTGAACCAGTTATTCCCAACTACATTAGCTTACTTTATTAGATTAATCATTTTCATGCAGCAGTCAAGGTCACGTCAAGGGTCACACAATAATTTCCTCTTAAGTCATTTTGAATGGGCCACGGAGTAGACGTAGACCTGGGTAATTACCGATGACAGTGTCCCTAGAGGAAGGCGGGTTATGATGGAGAGGTTGAAACTGAGTTATGGGCCATTCCTCTTCTTCACATTCCTGTCTGTTGTTCCCAGTGAGTCATAGAGGGAAGGCTCTTAGCTTTGCTTAATTAAAGTCAGCAGTCAGCGCCGACTGTTTGAAAAGCACCATAAAGAACTGTGACTACTGTACTTTCATAAAAATGTCAAGTATCTGAGGGACAGAACGAAACAGAAGGTGATTTTCCAGTTATAATACTGTATGAATTCCCTTATGAAATCTCATTCAGAAAACAAAAAACTCACACTGACCCTACCATGACTTCCTAATCAAGTCTTAATCCTGTTCTTTCCTGTGAGTAAACTACTCAAGTGAGACATCTCAGCAAAAACCCAAATCTCTTGTATAGCTATTTCACACTTGCAGACTGTTTAGGAGAGACTGAATGTCAAAGTAAAGTCATTTCCTGCCCAGCTAAAGAAATCAATGTATGTTTACTTGACAAAGGAAAAGCCACTGTGCACGTATTAGAGTTCTTGCTGACAGTCTGAATACATTTGTCCCACTGTACACACCACCTGGGATGTTTGGTCGAGGTTCTGACAATCAAGCCACCAGATGTTAACATACCAGTGGATTCGGGACCAATCAGATCCTGGTTTGTATTCTCCAAAGCTTGCGGACTGGCCGGGATAAGGGAATGATAATAGGAAAGCAGAAAGAAACCCGTTTTCTGGCATGGATTGCTGCTCTGTGAAAAAAGGTGTGACAACAAAAGCCACACAGTGTGGTCACCGGGAAGGTCCACACATTAGTAAAGTCTTTTCCTGCATTTCATTTTACACAGAAATATATTGGAAGCAAATCTGAGAGAATCTCATCTAAGGAAAGGCAGTTGCTTTCTTTACTTTCTATTTCCCTCTCTTCTGAGATTTCCACATATTACTTGAATTTGCTACCATGTAATCCAATTCCTCTGGTTACAAACAGAGCTTTTTCTTTAGCTGGAATTGCATTGTACCCCTAACTGTTTGTAAACAGTCAGTGATTATCCTGGAGGGAAGCCCCCCCTGCAACAAAGTGCTGAATCCCAGACACGACGCCTGAGCTTCCCTAGCCACCAGGAATGTTGCCTGGGGGATCTGGTGGAGAGAGGACATGGGAGGAAGTTCATGGTCATAAAGCAGCTCAACGAGCGTGATGACTGCCTTGACAAGGAGGTTTTGGAGGGAGATGAAAAGGGATGCGTAATATTAAGGCACTGTACATTTGTCTGTGTGAGTTCAAGCATGAATGCATATGCATGTATCAGCGTGCCCCTGCATGCTGCTGCGTGGTGGGCTCTCGCTGAATGGACTTCCTATCCCAGACTGTACTCCCATCTCATTGCACACAGCTGACATGACAGCTTCCACTGTCCTCCTGGAGCCTGACCTACTGAGGGCCCTTACGCCTGCATTCCCCTCCAACTGAGATGCTTTTCTGCACTCACAGCGAACACAACCCTTATGCGCTCACGTGGAGCAAACTATGAGTGGTATTTGGTGAGTTACGCCCCAGCCCCCACTCTAAACATTCCTCTGAGCCACAGTGTTTTTCATCTCCTCTGACTTAAAGGGTTAAAGAAAACACAGAGATGTTAATCATACATGTGGGGGGGGGGGGTTAAGCAGCAAAGTCACAGATGTTGCAGAATAATGGGACTGAGCCGAGGTCACCACCCTGCTACAGATACCCTGCATACCCCAACATCTTATAATTGGGACACAAAATGTAATTGGTTAGAACAGAGAGACAGGTCATACTTCATCTTGGGGAGTGTACTGCTGTCCGGCCCGGAAGCCACAGGTAAATCATACATCTCATGAACCTCACCTGAGGTCTGGCTGTACTAAATAACTGTGTTTTAGCTCGGGGCAGGAGAACGACTAAAGAACAGGAGACCACTTTCATTTAAAAGAACAGGGTCTTTGGCAGCCTGTTATTCAGGAAGTGACATGTGTATTGACTGAGGAAAAAAGATACAAGTGTTTAAATGGGCTTAGTGAAGCAGGTATGCTGTAAATGTGTGTGTACTTACTACAGGCACTGCAGGTGAAGCAGCTGTCATGGTAGAGGCTACCCATAGCCTGGCAGGCCTGGTTGGCTCCATACACCGCCTTGTTACACTTAACACAAACTCCTGCAACACAAAACAGAATATCAGCTAGTCAGAAAAGTCACACACAGTTAGAGCAAAATAACTCATGGATTTAGTCACGTACTATGTTGAACCCTAGAACAATTCTAAGATACAAATAAAGTATATCACAAAATTGAATTGTGCCCATGTTACTATTAGATTAGTGTAGCATGTTAAAGGGAAGTAAAGAGTTGTGGAGGCAATGGTCCAAATTAAACCTGACAAAAACAATGAAGAGAGCAAAAAAAAAAAAAACCTTCGCAGAAATCAGGAAGCTAGTTAGGAGGCTGTAGCATTGACAGGGGAAATATATCCCTACTTGCTTATTTGACTTGGCTCAGGGACTCTGTGACAATAAACTTTGATCAAAATCTGTGTTCCTAGCCTAACCACACACACGCAGTCCATGTGGCTTGATATCAAGACACTGGAATAATTCATCCATTCACTCGTCCAAGCCAGAATAGATTTGTACCACATGTGCAAAGAAAATTAATATATTTTTCAAATGAAACGGATGATTTAGAAGAGTCTTCTTTCTCCTGTGTTGGGTGAAGAATACCACTTCAGGCCTTTAACCAAATTGCATAATCCCACATTTGACTTTGGACAGCTCATGAACAACACACGTTTTCCATGTGATCAGTGTGTTACAATTGTTTCTTATCTGGAGCTGCATGGGATCCAACTAATCTTTCATCACTCCGCTTTCTGTGAATCTCCATCCCTCTGAGCACACACTGTATGACATGGTGTGATATGACACCTGACATACAGACTGTGACGAGTGACAAGCGGCATCACCACTGACCCCATTGGGTGGTTAGCTAGCTGCTAAATCAATCAGACATGACACAATCCGATCATGAAGTCTAGAGTAACAATACAGGAGGGGGCGGTGGCACTGAGACTATGAGTTCCTCGTTTAGTCTGAGGATGTGTGTGTATGTTTTTATAGAAATACTCCCTGGAGACAGAACTGCAGCTCAGCAGAAGAGCGTAGCCTGGCCCAGAACCTCCTCGAACACTGACAAAGAAACTACTGTTTCCACTGTATCCAACACACATCACGCGGCTGCCTGCTCCAAAAACACACTCTTACATTTAATAACCCTCTTCAAATGTTTCTCCTCTAAGACCATCAGAAATACACTATACAACTGGACTATATACTGTATAATTCAACTAAAGCCACAGCAGGTGGCACATCATCAGAGGCCCCAGTGGCTGAAAAGAAGATTTAGAGATAATAGATGGGTATTATTAGAAAGCAAACGAATCTTGCCCTTATGTAAGCTATTTTGATTACATGAAAACACGATTACGTAGTCTTTTCAGCTCTCTGCTGAAATGAATGAGACTCCTTTAAATCAAAATCTTTCAAAGTTTTTCATCTGTAAAATTTGACGAACAGTTCATGTCAGAGGTCAGACAACATGCAGGCGTGATAGAGCATACATACAGCACAGTACTTTCAGGACTTTTTCCATTACCTTTATATTTTTTATAGCTTCAGTGTGTATGAGAGCAAATATACGGTAAACGTCCGCTCTCTCTTTACTTTTCCTGTTTCAAACTAAAAACTCTGTGTTTTCAGAGTAACCTTCTCACAGTTTGGGCCACCACAAATTTGCTGCTGGCCAGAGTCCCATATTCCAAAACAGTGGGATTATTCACGGCACTGGAGAAGCAAACCCCCAAACCCCACCTTTCCCAGCTGTCAAAACTCCCTGTGGATGGCTGCTCACTGGCCAGAACGCCACCGACTGAGAGTTTCCACTTTGTCTGATTAGCCCCAAGATTTCAGATTCATGTTTTACACAACTGCCACAGTGATGGCTTTATAAGCAGCAAAAGCACTCCATCTTACTTGTTAAAATGCACGTGAAACAAGATTTACTAACCTTTTTGTTTATCACACACGTGTCTATCAGATGAGCTTAACTATTTTATCCATTACTTTTAGCTAATTATTGGTTTTAACTACATCTTTCAACCTGCTTATCCATTAATTTTAGGTAACTATGGTCACTGCTTTGGCTAAATATCCATTAACTTTGGCAAACTATTTTGACTCACTAACAATTTTTTATTACATTTAGTTTTTATCTAGTGCAAAGCGTGGGTTTTCAATTGTATGAACTCACTCAGGTAAATGGAAGGTGTGTCTTCTTTCTGACTGTAATAGCTTGCAGGTTATGCTACATTTATCCCCAAGTATTTAGATGTTTAAGTATAATTTCAAAAGACCGAGTTTTCACACTAACAAGTGACTAAACTCCAAACACATCCACCACTCTCATTCATTGAAATGTACTGTCAGACACCACACCCAGGAGTGACACAGCATATTAAATTCAGGAAAACACCGCAGGCCACATATTCACAGACAAAACAGCCACAAAGACATGTATTAGAGGATATCACATTCACTCTTACACTCACATACACACACACATAAAAGTCAGCCTCCGAAGCCCACTCAGAGCAGAAGCCAAGAGTCCCTGGGAAGAGTTAAGACCAAGCTTTCCCCTCAACAACCAGATGGGATAAATTAATCTTCCATCTTGACACAACACACAACACAAAATGCTCCACTGAATGTGTGTGTGTGGGTGAAAGTCAGAGGAAGAGGGAAGGCAGAACGCTGGGATGTCCCACAACTTATCCCCTCTTGGATGAACTTGTCTATAAATCTCACATCCTCTCAGGCTCTTGTGGTCAAGGACAAAGAAGCATCCATGAACTTGTCCCTAAATCTCTCTGTTTGTCTGCTCACCCTTTCAGCTGCACCTCAGGCACCTCTAAACCCGTCTGGGACTCCCCTCCCCTCTGTATTATAAGACCTCATTTCTAAAATTCCTTGCTCTCTTCCTTCAGACATTCCTCAGTGTTCCCCCGGTGCAGCTATTTGGCCCCGGATTCATGTTCCCAGAACCTCCAGCTGCAGTTGTGCCAATCAGCACTCCGTGTACAGTTGGGAACTCTGGTGGATCCCAGCTCTGTGTATAAACACAGCTCAGTGAAATGGTTCAAGTCTGCAGTGGCACTGGCAAAGACTTTTAAAGGCTCATATTCAGTCCAGATGCGCACAAAGAAAAGTTACATTTCAATAACCTACAAATGTGGCAACAGTAAAGATGCTCAAAGGTCTGAAAAAGTGTTTTACCTATGCAGAAATGTGACGACACCAAAGTTTCGTAAAGAACATAGCCTACACAAGCTTTTTTTTTTTCTGCCATGACTCAGAGGATGAGCCATGTCCTTGTGGAAAACTCCATACAGGGAGCATGTGTGGGTTCTGTGGGGATGTGAATGGAAAAAAAGCCATATGTATTACTAAATCCTACACTATCCAATGCTGACTGTACACAGTGGGCTCTCCCACACATTTGTAATATTCACATTGCTGTCTATTTATGAGTCTTGTCGTGACAGTGGAATACACCAGAATATCTTCCCTTACACCCCAGTATAAGCATACAGGGGTTTAGGAAGGCTGTGAATTACAATCGTGACATTCCAGTGAGGCGGCGCGGGCGGCCTGTGCGTACGTATGTGAGTGTAATAGGGGTGCTTTGTGACTTTGAACACGATATCACCCATCTTACACTCTATCCGCTCCCACTGTCTTGAAGTGAGACATCGCGTGTTGGTGAACGGCCTTGGCTCCAAACAGCGGGCCAACACGTGAGCTCTAGCATTCTCTGCAGCAAACAAACTACTGGCAGCACACAATACCTCTCTTTTATTTACTGTATCTGCAGTGTGACAACAACCTCTCATCAGGGGTCACTGCAAAGCATGCGTTTTTTTCAATTGTGCATTCCTGATAGAGCTCATGCCATCCAGATAAAGCCACTGAACGTGTATGAACAAGCGAAACCAGAGTATTGAGCCGATGATGGACATTGTTCTCCAACAATCTGTTTCTCACAGAGTGAGCTAATGTATTATTAAAAATCTTAGTTGCAAGACTCTTCTTCATATATTGGTAATATTATACATTCAAGATATTTAATGCCTTCTATCGGAAGGATAGATCAGAAAAACTCAACAGGCAAGATGTGATATCTAATGTCACATCTAACAGTTAAAGCCTGCTGATATTACCCATCATCATTCTCCCTGTGCATTTGTGTTTATGTTCACAAAAGGAGTAACAAACAATGTGCAAACAAGCACTGGTCTATAGTAATGAAGTCATGTGGAAAACAGTGAATGCCAGTGTCTGTCAAGCAAACTCTTTCTGGGAGGGGACAATTAACTGAAGCACAGTTCTGGCAGAAGTGATCAAGCTCTAACTAATGAGTTTACTTATCACTGTTGCCTAGTAATCCATTAAATCTCCTGGCAGAAGATAAAAGGGCAGCATTCTCCTTTCTGGCCTTAACTCCACCTTTTACTACTAAAGGGTTTGTTACAGCTGCCAAGAGGGCAGACACTTAGTCATTTAAAAAGACATCACCAATTAGATAATTGTTCCGTCTGCGGTCCACATAAGGGAAAGCAAAAAGTCCGGCAACACTTGCAGTGTTTTGAGCAACTTTAATAAAAAGACCAACAGGCATGAAGCGTTCATCAGGATCTGTTAACAGTTTGGGTTTTCCTTGTCTGTGCATCTTGACAGTGGCTGAAGTTGTGCCAGAACTTTCTACTGTATCTGCATTCCACAGAAGAAAAGAGAGGCCTCCTAATGTCATCACAAAAATAACACAACTGGCATGCTCTCCTGATTAAGCCACAAAGCAAGAACAAGAAATGTGTGTGTCTGCCTAGGGGAATAATAAAGAAAGATGACAGTGTGAGCCTGTGTAACTATGAGCCAAAAACAAGTGGGTTTATGTTCTGAACTGTAAGTGGGCGGTTGTGTCATTCAATGGGCTTTACAGTAAAGGCCTAAGTGACAGAAGTCCCCTTGTTGGTGTTGGTGGTCTAAAATATCTTACCAAAGTAGTCAGCCTTTGGCTGGGCATCCATCTCTTTTTCCAGTCGCTTTGTTAGAGCTTCTAGTTTTATTTCAGCTGCTGAAGGCCCCTGTTCAGGGGGTTGCTTGAGGATAGACTGGCAGGGTAGTTGGACTGACTTGGGGGAACATGGGACCTCAGCTTCAGTACAGGGGGCCGGGCCACAGCTGGGTGTGTGGCTCTGACTTTGACCATGGCTGCTGTCTTTGGAGACACTGCCAGGACTCAGGGGAGCAAAGGTCACCTGCGCTTTGGGTTGAGGTGTTTCAGCAGATGCAGGCAGGACAGAGGAAGCTGGCCAAGCACCATTATGGCTAAAGG